TTTTTTTTTTTTTTTTTTTTTTTTTTTTTTTTTTTTTACCACTTTCCCCGTAGCAGCCAGAACCGTGTTCATGAGAGAACATGCGGGGGCTACTCCCGACCTGCAGGTGGGCGATACCTCTATAACTAGGACATGGGCTTGCATTACAAATTTCAAGAGAGCGAAAGCGTGGTAGGGAGTTAAACTTTGGTGTGCGGTGTATGGGAGCATAGTAAGCGGATCTTGTGGAGAATATAGGAGGAGGAGGAGGAGGAAGAGGAGGAGGAGGAGGAGGAAGAGGAAGAGGAGAGTGCAGCAGGTTCAAAGGTAGGCGTTTGGTGATCGTAAGGAAGGGGGAAGGACGGCGGAAGCAGGCTGCTGCTGCTGTTCGCGGCGGATCTTCTCGTCATCCTTCGCTGCTTCGGGCTATGGAGTCCCTTCGCCTTCGTCTTCATCCTCTTCCACTTCCTCTTCTAATTCTTCTACTTGCTATTCTGCTGGGGATGGGTAGTATTGGAGAAGGAGAGGCGAGGAGCGTAATGACCGGCGGCGTGGAGGAGCTTGTCGAGAGGGATCCGAGGGGAATGCCGTTGCGATTGGCCGGTCGGGGACAAGCAGTCGAGGAGGAAGAAGAAGAAGCTGCCGCGGGGTTGTCCCAAACCGCGTGCCCAACGAAGAGACTTCCGTACGATCCCAATCCCGTCCGAGGCCAGCTGGATCCCACCCTTTACAACCCCGAAGATGCCATGTGTCTCCTCCGCTCTCTCTTCATCGTCTCTCTGGATGAGCTGCGGGCCGACCCGTCGTTCCCTCCGGGCTTCCTCCGTCTCGCATTCCACGACTGCATGACAGCCGGCGGCGGCTGCGATGGGTCCGTCCTCAAGCCGGCGGAGCTGAATTCTCCGGCCAATGCCCGCCTAAGGAGGCTGAGCAACATCACTCTGCGCATTCAATCTCGGGCAGCGGCGATGTGTCTGAACGTGAGGCCCACGCTCGCCGACACCATAGCCGTGGCCGGTGACGTGGCCAACGTCTTGTCCGGATCCCCGAGCGGGATAAGCATGGGGTTGAGGTTGGGACGTCGCGATGCCGACCCCAACCTTCCGGGGGACAACGCCACGACCCTCCCCAGTCCGTTTGACCCCTTCCCCGTGGCCCTCGAGAAAATGATAAGGCTGGGACTGACCGTGGAGGAGGCCACGCTGTTCACCGTGGGGGGCCATAGCATCGGGACGTCGGGCTGCGGAGCCTTTCGTCGCCGGCTGAGTGCCAACATCAGCACGTGCTCGTCTCCGCCGGATCGGGATCTGCAGCCGGCGTACGCTTGCCAGCTCAGCACGATCTGCGCTCAGCCCGCCGCCCGGGCGGACTTCGACCCCGCGACCCCCCTCTTGCTCGACACCGCCATCTTCAGACTCTTGCTGGAGGGAAAAGGCCTGCTGACGACAGATCAGGACTTCTTCACCAACTTCACGACGAGACCTTTCGTGCTCAAGTACGCATCGTTGGAGGGGTCGTTGAGCTTTCCCACAGACTTCGTGGCTGTCTACGTGAAGCATCTTCGCATTGGAATCAACGGACCAACGAGCAGACCTCCAGCCAGCTACTGCCTCACGACGGCCGAGCAAGCGTCTTCCTCTTCGGAATCCTCTTCCTCTTCCTTCTCTTCGTCTTCCTCCGACGCTGCTTCCCAAATTGAATCTCTTTTGCTTAGTACCCTTCAGGCCGTGTTTTAACTAATACCCCCCTTCCATTCCCTTCCCTCCCCCTCTCCCACAAAAAAAAATAAAAATAGGGAATGAATCTGGTCTCTACGTATGGAGTTGTGAGGTGTGTTGGAAGTGTCAAATTACTGTGCTGGCCTTCCCCATGCAGCCCGACGGGGGGTGTCTGCTTGGAGAGTCGGCTGGTGGTTTCGGCATACGAGTTTTCTTGTAGATAAAGGCGCACCCCGACGTAACCTTTTTTTTATTTTTTTTTATTTTTTTTTATTTTTTTTTATTTTTTTTTATTTTTATAAGAACCCCGACGTACCTATTGTGCCTGCGCCCACGCTGCCTGGATAACATAGAACCAATCACTCTACTCCCTCCTCCTCCCTCCTCCCTCCTCCCTCCTCCCTCCTCCCTCCTCCCTACTTCTCCTCCTTGCCAACGGAGGGTGTTTGTTTTCTCGATTTTGCATCGACCGTTATGGTAGGATGTTTATTCTTGTCTTTTCTTGGATTTGTGTGTTTTTTGTCCCTTTTTTTTTTTTTTCGTTAACCTTTCCGGTCGATTTGTGCTTT